GGATTAATTCGATCCAATAAAAAGTGCAGGCCTTCTCTATTATTAGTCTACATATCCATTTTCTTTGCCGTATGTTGCATTTAGCTGCTCAGTCCGCATTTCTTTGCTATTTTTAGCATCGCTTTTAGAAACGACGCCTGGATGTTACGAAATTTAAAAAAAGTCTGATTGCCTATAGATTATTTGATTTCTATTTTTACTTCCCTGAAAATCTAATATATTTAAAAAATGAAACTTATGAGCACTATGAAACTAGCGCGGCTAAAAAACCCTGACTAAATCATAAAAGAAAGGGACTGACACGCTATCTTTTCATTGTGAGCTATAAACATTGTAAAGTGTATGAATGGTCACATGAAACTAAGTCTGGGAACCTCTGAGAGAGGCCGCTAAATATTTTGGAACCTCTGAGGGAAGCCGCTAAACTTTAGACCAAATTGTTTCTTATTGTTTAACTACTCTTTGTTTGCATTGCCCGCTTCAGTAAATATTCCGTTTGCTGCAGTAATCAGTGCACTTTTGATTTGATAATAATTTTAATTACAGTTTTCTCATTAACCCCCCCCCCCCCCCCCCCCTCATCTTGGCGTAGTTGCTTTTAGCCGGGTGCTGATGTAAATAATTTCTCTACATGCTGTCATCGTTAACTGGGCTACAAGTTAGTGTTTACATCGTGTTCAATGTGCATTAAGTGACACGCTGGTCTGCCGTTAATTGATACAACGTACACAGTTGAGATGGGAAAGATTAACATTCACTGCGTTATAAGTCTTGGTTGTTTTGTTTGCTGAGGGTTCGCTTAAAGGCTTAAAGGTTCATGACCTCGGGTGCCGTTACTCTCTAACCTGTAGCTGTATAGGTGTTAGTTGCTAGACGTCTCTTCTCCTAAGGCTGCCACCAAATGTCTACTGTAGTTGCTAGACGTCCCATGATTTATTGCCCCACTTGCTGATGTTAAAAAATCTCACGAGCGATCGGCCTTGAAAAAATGACGCCCTGGAAACGTGTTGTTTCTGAAAAACTGGGGAATTAACGAGGGCTAATCACGTCATTGTAAAAATACATTTTGATTTGAGTTCTCTGAGGCTCTAACCTATCGTGGGACTGATTCCCCGAGGGGAGGGGGGATTTTCCACTTTCGTTATAACGTCATGTTTTCAATGGATTGTTGTCAGCTCCACGTAATACACACGACACCCCTACAGCGCCAACGTGAGGACCGTCCTACCGCCGTGTGAGAGACGCAGATGTTTCCCCGTCCTTAAGATGCTCTTGCCGCACCGACACCCAACTATCGCATGACCGTCGATAAATCTATAGCCAGCCGATGTGCACATCATCACTGTCGATACATCGATATCTAGATGATGTGCACATCATCGCTGTCGATACATCGATATCCAAATGATGTGCACATCATCGCTGTCGATACATCGATATCTAGATGATGTGCACATCATCGCTGTCAATACATCGATATCCAAATGATGTGCACATCATCGCTGTCGATACATCGATATCCAGCCGATGTGCACATCATCGCTGTCGATACATCGATATCCAGATGATGTGCACATTATCGCTGTCGATACATCGATATCCAGATGATGTGCACATCATCGCTCTCGATACATCGATATCCAGATGATGTGCACATCATCGCTGTCGATACATCGATATCCAGCCGATGTGCACATCATCGCTCTCGATACATCGATATCCAGATGATGTGCACATCATCGCTGTCGATACATCGATATATAGATGATGTGCACATCATCGCTGGCGATACATCTATACTCTATAGCCAGCCGACGTGCAATTCTCATGTAGGAAAAAATAACTTTTAATTGGTTGTGTGTTTGATTGATATGTCTGCCTGTTGTCTGTCTTCAAGATGTGTCTTCAGTTGTGTGTCCTCAGTTGTGTGTCCTTAGGTAGTGTGTCCTCAGGTTGTGTGTCCTCAGGTTGTGTGTCCTTATGTTGTGCGTCATCAGTTGTGTGTCCTCAGTTGTGTCTCCTCAGTTGTGTGTCCTCAGTTGTGTCTCCTCAGCTGTGTGTCCTCAGTTGTGTGTCCTCAGGTTGTGTGTCCTTATGTTGTGCGTCATCAGTTGTGTGTCCTCAAGTTGTGTGTCCTCAGTTGTGTGTCCTCAGGTTGTCTGTCCTTGTATTGTGGTATAGTCGACTGTTGAGTGTACCGGGATGTTTATGGTTGGTAGCGAGTAAAGCATTCTTGTGAAGTTTATTGGCGTGAGTTAATTGTCCCATTGAAGCGATCCAATTGGCTGAGAGCTCCACATAAACTTGGAGTAATGCCTTCAGGCTTCCCCCATAAATCTCGCGACTCTCTCTACTTAAGCCTTGGTCTCAGTCCACCCAGAGACTCTGAAAAAGTCGTCTTTTAAATTATGCACTGGGAATCATTGTTATATTTTTACCACACGAATTATGGTAGTAGTTTTAGCAAACATAATGTTATGTTTTTTTGGTCAGTCTGCTTGTTTTAAACTGCGTCAGTTGCTATTAGGGGATCAGTTGAAGTGGACCAACTGAGCAGTAAACTAACTAGCATTGCCTGATTGCCAACAATATCCAGCCGGTTATAGTCATGTGACGGTTGTTGCCTAGCAACTATCAACAAGAGTTGGAAACTAAATCCTGTAGTTAAGTGCCTGCATCCAAATGTTTTACCGACTTGTTCTGTCAGGTATAAGGAACTCTGTTACAGTAACATCCATATGTAGAACTTTGTTACAGTAACATCCATATGTAGAACTTAGTTACAGTAACATCCATTTGTAGAACTTTGTTACACTAACATCCATCTGTAGAACTTTGTTACAGTAACATCCTTATGTAGAACTTTGTTACAGTAACATCCATTTGTAGAACTTTGTTACACTAACATCCATCTGTAGAACTTTGTTACAGTAACATCCTTATGTAGAACTTTGTTACAGTAACATCCATTTGTAGAACTTTGTTACAGTAACATCCTTATGTAGAACTTTGTTACAGTAACATCCTTATGTAGAACTTTGTTACAGTAACATCCATATGTAGAACTTCGTTACACTAACATCCATATGTAGAACTTTGTTACAGTAACATATATATGTAGAACTTTGTTACAGTAACATCGTTAAAGTAGAACTTTATTTAAGTAACATCTATATATAGAACTATGTTACATTGACATTTATGAACCAGACAGTTATGTAGCTGGAAAGAATAGACCGTCATTGCCTCTTCAGCCATTCTATAGAACCTTATTGCTGCAACACATGTGAGACAGAACCTATTGTTGATGCTTGAATGAAATAGATGCTTATTGCGTCTATGTGTATTATATAGAACCTATTGTTGATGCTTGAATGAAATAGATGCTTATTGCGTCTATGTGTATTATATAGAACCTATTGTTGATGCTTGAATGAAATAGATGCTTATTGCGTCTATGTGTATTATATAGATCCTATTGTTGATGCTTGAATAAAATAGATGCTTATTGCGTCTATGTGTATTATATAGATCCTATTGTTGATGCTTGAATAAAATAGATGCTTATTGCGTCTATGTGTATTATATAGAACCTATTGTTGATGCTTGAATAAAATAGATGCTTATTGCGTCTATGTGTATTATATAGAACCTATTGTTGAGGCTTGAATGAAATAGATGCTTATTGCGTCTATGTGTATTTTATAGAACCTATTGTTGATGCTCGAATGAAATAGATGCTTATTGCGTCTAAGTGTATTTTATAGAACCTTATTGCAACTCTTTGGATTCTGGGCACAATAGGGGCAGAAAATGGGACACAGGAGGATGAATGATTGACCACAGCGACGAGTCTTAAGTAACAGAGTTGATACTGTTAGGAACGTATCTCGTGCCTCAAGACACAACTGATCTAAATTAACTTTTGACCTTGGTACATTCTCAGCTGATTAATGACACCGTTGGTTGACCCGATGGATCAGTTGTGTTTTCCAATCGAGCCACCAACAATATAACCACATCGTTGTAAAATCATTTTTTTTTCTTTATGAATATATTATATATATAAATTAATTATAATATATTAAAAATAATTTATTTTTGATATAATATATTATATATAAAAAAAAAATAACCTACCGATCATCCCATTTGTTTGGGTGTAAAGTTCCGTAGCGTCCTGGTATGACAGCATGCCCCTGTGGCTTCTGTCCCGTGTTCTCTCGTACATCCGCTACATCTGCTACAAAACTCACCAAGCTTATCTGTCTAGTAATTCAATCTTTTCGTTTGTCAGCTTTGTCAGTGTACGCTCAGACTTCTAATCGTGGTGGTGAGATTGTGGATGGTGGTATTTATCATGGTGGTGAGATTGTGGATGGTGGTATTTATCAGGATGGTGAGATTGTGAATGGTGGTATTGATCAGGGTGGTGAGATTGTGGATGGTGGTATTTATCAGGGTGGTGAGATTGTGGACGGTGGTATTTATCATGGTGGTGAGATTGTGGATGGTGGTATTTATCAGGATGGTGAGATTGTGGACGGTGGTATTTATCAGGGTGGTGAGATTGTGGACGGTGGTATTTATCATGGTGGTGAGATTGTGGACGGTGGTATTTGTCGTGTGCGTGGGTATGTCTGAAACAGTTTTGTTTTATAACCATTATATGTCGGGGTGGGAAGATGAGATAATGGTAGAGCTGTTAGTCTTATACTAAATAAAAAGCTTTCAGTTTCCTAATGTACACTCGCCTGCACTTAAAGTGGCGTTCATGTGGACATTAAACCTGCGAGATGCAATTGGGTGGGCGACAGTGTGGACAATGCACCTTTTAACTGCACTTCCCGCGTGTGGACTACAGGCGGGCCGTCTTGGTGGGCCCTGTCGCTATCGGAGTGGCTGTGGCCACAGGCTTGTTGAATGAATCGATAATTCCCCCACGCGTTGATCGGCCGTTCATCGAAATACGCGCCTCACTGGCTACTTTCTACTTGCAGGCTACATCACACGCTCTCTGCCCGGCTACCTCGACGTTACTCAACACCCCAGGGCTACACTTACCAGGATCTACCTCTGATGTTTTGAGTTTGGTAAGTCTGTCATGTATTTCTATCTTCGGTTAGGACACCAGCATACCATTGTTACTTTATTCTTGAAAGCTAGTCAATCGTTTTGGTCTTTAATGTTAGATTTCGGGCTCTAGCCTATTATTTGTAGTGCGTATTCGTTGCGTTAAATATTCTAAAATTGGGTGTCAACTTTCGAGTTGTCACCACACCAAATGGTGTGTGTCGGCTCCATGTTGTCACCACACCAAATGGTGTGTGTCGGCTCCATGTTGTCACCACACCAAATGGTGTGTGTCGGCTCCATGTTGTCACCACACCAAATGGTGTGTCGGCTCCATGTCACCACATCAAATGGTGTGTGTCGGCTCCATGTCACATCAAATGGTGTGTGTCGGCTCCATGTCACATCACATGGTGTGTGTCGGCTCCATGTCACCACATCACATGGTGTATGTCGGCTCCATGTCACCACATCACATGGTGTGTATTGGCTCCATGTCACCACATCAAATGGTGTGTGTCTGCTCCATGTCACCACATCAAATGGTGTGTGTCGGCTCCATGTCACCACATCAAATGGTGTGTGTCGGCTCCATGTTGTTATCCATTAGCAAACCCGCAGTGATCGGCCCGCATCAGTTGTCAGTCCGTCATGTCCAATCTGGTACGCCGTCATATCGTCTGGACGCTACAGTACATAAAGTCGCCATAAGTTGAAAACAATTTTCAGACCGCTTTCAAAAAATTCTCGGTGTAACGTCACCATCCCCTAGGTGTAATGTCACCATCCCCTAGGTGTAATGTCACCATCTCCTAGGTGTAATGTCACCATCTCCTAGGTGTAATGTCACCATCTCCTAGGTGTAATGTCACCATCTCCTAGGTGTAATGTCACCATCTCCTAGGTGTAGTCACCATCTCCTAGGTGTAATGTCACCATCTCCTAGGTGTAATGTCACCATCTCCTAGGTGTAATGTCACCATCTCCTAGGTGTAATGTCACCATCTCCTAGGTGTAATGTCACCATCTCCTAGGTGTAACGTCACCATCTCCTAGGTGTAATGTCATCATCTCCTAGGTGTAATGTCACCATCTCCTAGGTGTAATGTCACCATCTCATAGGTGTAATGTCACCATCTCCTAGGTGTAATGTCACCATCTCCTAGGTGTAACGTCACCATCTCCTAGGTGTAATGTCATCATCTCCTAGGTGTAATGTCACCATCTCCTAGGTGTAATGTCACCATCTCCTAGGTGTAATGTCACCATCTCCTAGGTGTAATGTCACCATGTTTTAGAGTAACGTCACCATCTCATATGTGTAACGTCACCATCTCCTAGGTGTAATGTCACCATCTCCTAGGTGTAATGTCACCATCTCCTAGGTGTAATGTCACCATCTCCTAGGTGTAATGTCACCATGTTTTAGTGTAACGTCACCATCTCATATGTGTAACGTCACCATCTCCTAGGTGTAATGTCACCATCTCCTAGGTGTAATGTCACCATCTCCTAGGTGTAATGTCACCATCTCCTAGGTGTAATGTCACCATCTCCTAGGTGTAATGTCACCATCTCCTAGGTGTAATGTCAACATCTCCTAGGTGTAATGTCACCATCTCCTAGGTGTAATGTCACCATCCCCTAGGTGTAATGTCACCATCCCCTAGGTGTAATGTCACCATCTCCTAGGTGTAATGTCACCATCTCCTAGGTGTAATGTCACCATCTCCTAGGTGTAATGTCACCATCTCCTAGGTGTAATGTCACCATGTTTTAGTGTAACGTCACCATCTCATATGTTTAACGTCACCATCTCCTAGGTGTAATGTCACCATCTCCTAGGTGTAATGTCACCATCTCCTAGGTGTAATGTCATCATCTCCTAGGTGTAATGTCATCATCTCCTAGGTGTAATGTCACCATCTCCTAGGTGTAATGTCACCATCTCCTAGGTGTAATGTCACCATCTCCTAGGTGTAATGTCACCATCCCCTAGGTGTAATGTCACCATCTCCTAGGTGTAATGTCACCATCTCCTAGGTGTAATGTCACCATCTCCTAGGTGTAATGTCACCATCTCCTAGGTGTAACGTCACCATCTCCTAGGTGTAATGTCACCATCTCCTAGGTGTAATGTCACCATCTCCTAGGTGTAATGTCACCATCTCCTAGGTGTAATGTCACCATCCCCTAGGTGTAATGTCACCATCCCCTAGGTGTAATGTCACCATCCCCTAGGTGTAATGTCACCATCTCCTAGGTGTAATGTCACCATCTCCTAGGTGTAATGTCACCATCTCCTAGGTGTAATGTCACCATCCCCTAGGTGTAATGTCACCATCCCCTAGGTGTAATGTCACCATCTCCTAGGTGTAATGTCACCATCTCCTAGGTGTAATGTCACCATCTCCTAGGTGTAATGTCACCATCTCCTAGGTGTAATGTCACCATCTCCTAGGTGTAACGTCACCATCTCCTAGGTGTAACGTCACCATCTCCTAGGTGTAACGTCACCATCTCCTAGGTGTAATGTCACCATCCCCTAGGTGTAATGTCACCATCCCCTAGGTGTAATGTCACCATCCCCTAGGTGTAACGTCACCATCTCCTAGGTGTAACGTCACCATCTCCTAGGTGTAATGTCACCATCTCCTACCACATGCACACAGACTTGCTCCGGACACCAAGCGTTAGAATTGTCCAAACTTAGCGTGGGTTGAGGCGTGAATAAAACGTGAACTGTAGAGCGGAAAGTTGACCTCTAGACCTGGTGCATTTATGAGTTCAACTCATTGTTTAGTCAACTCATTATTTAACCTTTAACCCTTGAGCAGTCGCTAGTTCAGCTCATTGTTTAGTCGCCATGGAAAGTTAACCTTTAACCCTAGTACAGTCGCTAGTTCCTCATTGTTTAGTCGCCATGGAAAGCAAGCGGCCTTCTATTATTTATGTGTCAGCTGTACCCAGGGGCTTTTGTTAGCTGTATCATATGCCTTCCGTTGTGACAATAGAGACACTTGTGTAATGGGTTATACTGTATCATATGTCTTCCATTGTGACAATAGGGACACTTGTGTAATGGGTTATACTGTATCATATGCCTTCCGTTGTGACAATAGAGACACTTGTGTAATGGGTTATACTGTATCATATGCCTTCCGTTGTGACAATAGAGACACTTGTGTAATGGGTTATACTGTATCATATGTCTTCCATTGTGACAATAGGGACACTTGTGTAATGGGTTATACTGTATCATATGCCTTCCGTTGTGACAATAGAGACACTTGTGTAATGGGTTATACTGTATCATATGTCTTCCATTGTGACAATAGGGACACTTGTGTAATGGGTTATACTGTATCATATGTCTTACATTGTGACAATAGGGACACTTGTGTAATGGGTTATATTGTATCATATGCCTTCCGTTGTGACAATAGAGACACTTGTGTAATGGGTTATACTGTATCATGTAGACCTTCCATTGTGACAATAGGGACACTTGTGTAATGGGTTATACTGTATCATGTATACCTTCCATTGTGACAATAGGGACACTTGTGTAATGGGTTATACTGTATCATATTCCTTACATTGTGACAATAGGGACACTTGTGTAATGGGTTATACTGTATCATATGCCTTCCGTTGTGACAATAGAGACACTTGTGTAATGGGTTATACTGTATCATATGTCTTCCATTGTGACAATAGGGACACTTGTGTAATGGGTTATACTGTATCATATGCCTTCCGTTGTGACAATAGAGACACTTGTGTAATGGGTTATACTGTATCATGTAGACCTTCCATTGTGACAATAGGGACACTTGTGTAATGGGTTATACTGTATCATGTAGGCCTTCCATTGTGACTATAGGGACACTTGTGTAATGGGTTATACTGTATCATATTCCTTACATTGTGACAATAGGGACACTTGTGTAATGGGTTATACTGTATCATATGCCTTCCGTTGTGACAATAGAGACACTTGTGTAATGGGTTATACTGTATCATGTAGACCTTCCATTGTGACAATAGGGACACTTGTGTAATGGGTTATACTGTATCATGTATACCTTCCATTGTGACAATAGGGACACTTGTGTAATGGGTTATACTGTATCATATTCCTTACATTGTGACAATAGGGACACTTGTGTAATGGGTTATACTGTATCATATGCCTTCCGTTGTGACAATAGGGACACTTGTGTAATGGGTTATACTGTATCATATGCCTTCCATTGTGACAATAGGGACACTTGTGTAATGGGTTATACTGTATCATATGCCTTCAACTGTGACAATAGGGACACTTGTGTAATGGGTTATACTGTATCATATACCTTCCATTGTGACAATAGGGACACTTGTGTAATGGGTTATACTGTATCATATGCCTTCAACTGTGACAATAGGGACACTTGTGTAATGGGTTATACTGTATCATATGCCTTCCATTGTGACAATAGGGACACTTGTGTAATGGGTTATACTGTATCATATGCCTTCAACTGTGGCAATAGGGCCACTTGTGTAATGGGTTATACTGTATCATATGCCTTCATATATGTGACAATAGGGACACTTGTGTAATGGGTTATACTGTATCATATGTCTTCCATTGTGACAATAGGGACACTTGTGTAATGGGTTATACTGTATCAAAAAGCCAAGCCTTTATTTTGTGTATTTGTGTAGAATTTTTTTTGGGCATTTCAAAAACATGAACATTTAAATAACATTTTCTGTGATTCACATATGATTTTTACCACTGGTTGTTGATTGTTATTTTTAAACTTGTCGTTTGTAGTTTAAGATACACTTTCTACTTTTAGAACAGGAACTATAAAGTCTAATGTTACTTTAAACTTTACTAATTTTTCAATAATTTAAATTCAAGAAATGGAGAAAAAAAGTCTGGACAAGACTCTTTAAGTCTAATCCACAGCTCTATTCTGTGCCATAATTTAAACACTTCAAAATCTAGCAGGAATTATTTTCGTCT